GATTTGTTTCTTACAAACACACAGCTTTTCGCTTCAGACGACGTTAATTGCTGGATTGGAGTGGTGTGGATTACTTGTGGATTATTGTGATGTTTTTATCAGCTGTTTGGACTTTCATTCTGACGGCACCCATTCACTGCAGAGGATCCATTGCTGAGCAAGTCATGGAATGCTACATTTCTCCAAATCTGTTCTGATGAAGAATCAAACTCATCTATATCTTGGATGACCTGAAGGTGAATGGCCTTTTTAATCAAGGAATTACTGTTCTAGAAAATGTCTTTTGCAATGATCCCTTTAATTTTAAGTCTCATTAAACAGACTCATTTTTTTCTCCTTCATTTTAATTGCCATACTTTGGGGGGAAAGACATGTCTTCTCCCATAGTGCACCTGTTCCCCTGAGGCTGTGCTCTGCCCCGCTCACACTGGATCGGATTTCCTCTGCAGGTTGGTCGTAATATACTCGCATGCATTAGGTGGGGCTATATGATCTTGACTTGTCAGCTTGTTATACAGCATTAGCCCTTCAGCTAAACTTCTTTTTCTTGTCTGAGCAGACAAAATGATACCTGGGAGAGAAAAACACACTATATCATTTTACACTTAGAAATGTCTGGCTTGAGGCTCGTTCTAAATTTAGTATTTCAGAATCTTAAATAGATTAATAATGTAGGTCGTGACTATGATGATGTGGCAATGAGCTTTTTTTTTGACATATCCTTCAGAATTAATCAATACATTCTCTCATGATTCCTAAAATTATTCCACAAATTATGGCAGTCAAGACAATTAATTGTTTAATAAAATAAATAAAAAATAGATTAAAGTAAATCCTTTTACTGTACTTTGCATTGTACAATATAAAATATTGACACACCTGGCTAATTATTAATAACTGTAGTCCCCTTTATCTTTTGCTTCAATCATAAGATTGAAGATCAGACTAAATGACTGCAGCTTTGATAGGTTACTTGAATATGGGCCTCATGTTTTGTGGAAGGAAGGGAGAAATGACTCAACCAACTGATGTCTGCCTCAATCTCTCTAATCACATCACCGAACCTTGAAGCTTATGTCTTTGTATCCTCCGTAATTGAATTGGGCTTAGATTAAATTGCATGACAGAACTCATATTGTTTAGCTTCAAAATGGGACACAATTCTTCCTCAGTAAGACTGTAGGGCTGAACCGACTGTCAATGAAATGCATAAATCAGTTCAGATATGTTCTCTCTTCCTCTCTCCTCAAGTTAAGAAAATGTGGTTTGGAAAGAATCTTTACGCAGCAGATTTTTAAATTTTTTTTTTTTTTTTAAAGGGGTCGTATGATGTTGCTAAAAAGAACATTATTTTGTGTATTTGGTGTAATGAAATGTGTTTATGCGGTTTAAGGTTAAAAAAACACATTATTTTCCACATACTGAACATTATTGTTT